CTCACCTTGTGTGGCTATGAAGTGGTTGGACCTGTGGTAGCCCTGCAAGGGAAGCAGAGACGTCAGTCCCCAGGTGGGGGAACACTGGGATACTCGAGAGCTGGGGCACAGCCCCGTAAAACATTTCCCAGTCACCCAAGCGATGGCAACTCCCGATGTCCGCTGGGCCAGGTCCTGGCCACCAGCGCAGTGCTACCCACCACTGCAGGAGGCGGCGGAGGCTCGGCAGCCATCCTGCACCCAGTGCGCCCTGTCCTGGGAGGGTGCGCATCCCACGTCACAGAATCACAAGGGTTGGAAGGGACCTCGGGAGATCATCTAGTCCAACCCCCCTGCTAAAGCAGGTTCTCCTAGAGCATATTACACAGGACTTCATCCAGGCGGGCTTGGAAGATCTCCAGAGAAGGAGACTCCAAGGCTCACGTAAATGCCCAATCCTCATCCCTGTTCCGCACCAGAAGCCCCAGCAGCGCCCCGCAGGCATCCCGGGGTCAGCTCCTGCGCTGCTGGCGTTGCTGCTGAGCACGGTAACAGCACCGTGAGTCCTGTTAATGATATCCCATCCCGCAGCAGCCACACGGCACTGAGAAACGGCCCTGCTCCCCTCCTTCGTCCCAACCACTTACTGGGACCATTCCCAACTCTTAACAGGAACGTGCCAGCCCAAAGAGCACATCCCAGTGAGGCCACTGCCAAAGGGACCGGGTGTCCCACACCTTGGCCATGGGTCCAGCAGAGTTCAACCACATCATATGCATGGAGGTGATGGCAGCTTCTCCACCCACCGTCGGTCCTCTCATGGGGGATTTTTGTGGGTTAAATTCAACCCCTCCTCCAAGCACACAGCCCGTGCTCTCCATCACCCCAGGGAGGACGTGCCACGGAGACCTCACTTTCCCCTTCCCTGGACTGCACTCAAGTTTATCCACACGTTTTCCCACCCTGCCTCTCCCAAATGCTATTTAATGCCATGCTGCCCGGTATGACACCTGGGAGGAGAGCAGAGAGAAGGAAGGAGAGGGGAACCATCTACTTACTTCTCGGTTAATCCGAATCTTAATGATCCCGTTGGGACACAAGTTTGAGAGAAAAAGATCAGAGACAGAGACATTAGTGAGGCACAGCTCAAGAGACAGACAGGTTAGAGCACCAGCCCCAGAGCAGGTCACGGAGAGCCACAGGGGAGAAAGGACACACAGGGACGGGCATGGGGATGCTGCTCGGGCACAGGGAACCCATCACGGTGGCATCAGGCCACCATTGCCAGATGTCATCCTCTGGGTGGGAGAGTGGGACTCGCTGCTGCTTCCAGGAGGTGCTCGAGCCCTGTGTCTGATGGAGCCTTCCTGCACCTTCCCTGGTCTCGGCATCACTGGAGGCAACAAGGGACATCACTCTTGGGCAACATCACTCTCAGGGGACACCAGGGCCAAGCTCCACCCAGACTCACATGCACTGACAGGATCGAGGGGTATCCCAGCGTCAGCCCCCAGCTGGTCCCTTGGCCCACTCAACCTCTGCCACCTCCACCCAGGGAAGAGGGAGATCCACGGCCACGAGAGCAAGCGAGGGGAGAAGAAAGAATGCAAAAGGGGATCAGAAAGGACGGATAGAGTGGAGCAGAGAAGGGAGAGGCGCAGCAAGCAGAAATAGCAGATGAACATAAATAAGTCAGGCAGGCTCTTCATGGCATGTCTCAGGGCCACGCAGTTCAGCCCATCCTGGGCTGTCTCAGCTCTTCCAAATGCTGCTGGTTCTTCAGGGACAGACCCTGACAGCCCACAGGGTCCCATGGAAAGCTCCTATCTCAGCCCAGACCCCCCACGGAGAGAGGCCCCATCCCCACTTACATCGATGTAGTTGGCATTGATGTAGTCCGAGTTGGGATCACCCAGCAGCGGGTGCAGCTTCACTCGGTGACGGTCGTCTGGAGAGCAAGGGGAGAAGGGACTGTCAGCACCCGGGGGATGAGCACGGGGACAGCATGTCACCCCACCACGTCCCAGGGCACCCTTTGCAATCATTTTGCACCAGGAATCTGCAAAACGCAGGTGGGTGGGTTGTATTGAGGAGCAATAAATACAAGCTGGTGGAGGTCTTCCCAAAGATGGTGGCTTAGGCCAGCAGGGACATGGGGGAGCAGCTTTCAGCACAGTATCTGCACTGAGCAAGGACCTTTCTGCTGCCCTTGACCAACCAAACCCCACCAGTTTATTCCTTGCCATGGTCCACACACACCTACCAAAAAAGGCCCCCAGGCCCCCTGAGAAGGTTTTTTCAAGCTGTTCAGGCTGTCTAAGCCTTTTCTAAAGGCACTCACATGTCGACACATGATCCTGTCTCCCTTTAGTCTTGTCTTTCTTCTTCGAAGCATCCCAGCCTTCAAAGAAACTCTGTAAGGAAGGGATGGCTGTCACAACCCGAGGGCAGGACTGTGGGGTCCCCCCCAGCCCCACAACCTTCCCGAGGAGCAGGGCAGGCAGGGTGGTCCCTCCACCCCAGCAGCCAGGTCCCGCAGCCCCAGCCCCATCTCCATGGCACGCTCTGCCAGCTAAACACTTCTGTTGCATCCACAACATGCCCCATTTTCCAGCAAATTATAGACTGCCTGGTTTTTCTCCAGGGTTGGTTGTGGTTGTTTTTTTCTAAACCTCCCCAGTCCCTTTCTCTCCCCAGAACAGAATAGGTTTGTGTGTAATAACAGTAACAGTCACAGATTGGCGTAAGAGGAGGGAAGTGGAAGGAAATTACATGTTTTCTCCCCTCGCATAATATCGGAGTGCTTTCAAATGACTGGCTCCAAGAACATACAGCAGCTTTTCAAGGAGCACTAATGATTATAGCAAGCCTGGTTTGTCCAGTACATGAAAGTGGGGGGGGGGGGGAAGCGCCTACACTTGAAACAACTAAGCATTAAACAGTAATTTCACTGGGAAATTTCAATCGCCAGACCTGTGGGACACCAAGGAGTTGGGAAATCAATCCTGCTGGGCACACTGCGGCAGAGGCGCACCGAATAACGCGCTCTGTTACAAGCACTCCGGCTCCAACGAGGTGGGATGGGCACGATGCAGCCAATGACCCTTGGGAGGGACTTCCCTCCCTCTGGGATCAGCCTTTCCTGTGTCCTCTCCCTGGAGTCTTTGTGGTGTTGGGAGCTGCCAGACTGTAGAGGATTTGCTTGTCCTTAGGCTATGGCCATGCTTATCATGGGACAAGCATGCTGGAGAGCAGAAGAACACAACATCATGGTGCCCAGGAGGACCTGAGAAAGGCAGAAGCATCCCCAGCCCTGGCAGGAGAGGTGGGCAATGCACTGCAGACAGGAGAGGTGCAGGCTGGCTGGCAGAGCTGGTTTGGCTCATCTCAGGGACCTGCTCAAGCTGACAATTAAATCCTGAGCTGCCAGGACCAGAGATTTGACCCACACCCAGGGACACCCCATGTGTGCTTATGATGCCGGTCCAGAGAGCTTCGTCTCCTGCTGTCCAGAGCACTGCAGCTCCAGGTCTGGAGCATCTTCTCCTTGCAAACCGGTCCCTCCCGTGCCACCTCGTCCATCCTACCTCCCGTGCTCCCCGAGACTCCAGCACAAGGTGCTCTCACCAAGATGCTCTCACCTCATACTCCTGCTTGAAGCCGTAGCCTTCTGCCGTCTTCATCTGGTTGATATGCTGGAGGAGATCCGCCACCCGCACGGCGGGATGGAGCTGCCCGGTGTGGTACGGGGACCCTTTGCGGCCGCACTGGCGGCGAGGGGAGCCCCCCAGCAAGCTGCTGGACTCATTGACCACGCTGCTGCGCTGGTCACCTGCAGAAGGGGAGGGAGAACCAGGGGCCATCAGGGGAGCAAAGCTTTGGACCACATCCTCACCACCTCCTCGTGCCCACAAAGGAGGGACAAGAGGGCACCTGAAAACATCCCCAGGAGATACTGGTGCTGCAGCCAGTCTCTCTCTGGGGGCCACAAGAGGTCCAGACCCTCCCTGTGCTCTCTGCAGCTCTTCCTACACCACAAAGCCAAAAACGCCCGTTACAGCCTTTTAGGACCACAGCAGCTCTCTTAGAAATCAGTGGCAAGACCTTCAGGGGGTTAATAAGCTTATTTCCCATCAACAGGAGCAATTAACTCCCATCCAGACAAATAAGAGCTACATGCTCAAATATTCACACAAAGTCCTGACTTGAAAAATAGCATTGCCAAAGTCTCCAGCCCAGCTTAACAGTTAATTTTCCTTGCTGCTAGATACTGGCACCCTATTCCTAGCGCTGACACAAATGGAGCTCGCTGCTGTTTAATGGGGGAGTTTATGCAGCATTTACCTGGTTTATGCCTTTGCTGGGTAATTACCAGCAGAGCCAAACTAAGACCTCGCCTGCGCTTGTCAGGGCAAGGTCCCACACCGGATCCTGAGATTTGGGGTTGCACAGAACCCAACGCTCTCCACTGCCGCCAGGAGATGCGGGCAGGCACGGACCCTGCAGCACCCAGCCTGGAACACCGTCCACACGCTGCTGGGAAGAGGCTTTGCAAGACGGTGCGGTGCATCCTGGATGTGGTTTCCCCTAACAACACTTCTAAAAAGCACCCTTGCCAGCTTGCTCGCAAAGCTCCCCAGGCTTTTTTTTTTTTTTGTCTGCTCAAATGCAAGGAGCAGCCCCTCACGCCCTGCCTGCACCTCTCGGCTGCAACATGGGTGCAACACGGGTGCAGCACATGCACAGAGCAGGGTCTCCATCAGGCATCGCAGCCCCAAGGAGAAGATGCTCCAACCTCTGCAACCAGAAATATCTCCCTTGCAGGCTGCCAACACGTGGCTGAACCAACGGGACAGTGCGAGAGGGCCCCGCTGCGCCCCGTGGCACGGCCGACGGGAGCACCGGCTGCTGGGTTTAATGAGAAATTAATTGCAGGTGTTTGCAAGGTGCCGACAGCTCCACACAGGCACATGCTGAAGACCCGCTTGGGTTTCCGTGGCAAGTATTTGGTGATGTTTTTTAAATGCAAGGAAGATGAGGCATGGTGGGGAACAGCCCCCAGCCGGTCATGGAGCAGAGCAGCCCATTCATTTACCTTCGTTAATTAATGATGCTTATAGGCAGGGGGTGGCCGCAGCGGAGGCTGTCCCCAGCTGTGGCAGAGAGCCCAAGCTCCCCACATCTCCACCTCCACCAAGCAGAGGGATGAGGAGCAGCCAGCAGCAGAGCGAGCAAGTGGGCGGGAGCAGAATCTGGCCCCACAGCCCCCTTCCCTAAAAAAAAACACCCCCCAAGGCCCAGCAGCCCCAGCTCAGCCCTCTCAGAGACGCACCAGCCTTTGAGTGTTTCGAGGACAGTAACCAAAAAATAATACACCTAGCTCGATGTATTAAGAGGAGGAAAAGTTTGCCCTCTGGGCTTCTATTATCCGCGAGACAATGCCAGGAAGCAAATTAATCCCGCAGCCGGTGGAGAAGAACTGTGGGTAAGCAGCATCTTGAAGTTACTGTAACAGATGTTATTAGCATATGGCTGAAACTGGGGCATCCAGCGAGTTATTTTACAACTAAATCAGCCCCGAGATGCATACTCCAGTGGGTGTTAAGTTATCAGTCTCCCTCTGATGTAAACGCGGTGGCTCCTTGGCCCTTTGGAAGCCCAGGGCTGCACCCAACACCACGGGCAGAGCCACACCGGGAGCACTGGTGCAAAGCTCTCAGCTTCAGTGTAAGGCAAGAGTTGGGGTTCACCCAGCTTCAGGGGGCTGCGGACAGCGTTTGAGCCCACAAATGGCCTCAACCCACCCAGCCACAAGCCCAGATCTCCGCTTCCAGAGATCGACGCGCAGAGACCCTGCTCGAGCCACCCACGAGTGGTTTTCCTTCAGCAAAACCTGGATGACAGTAAAAGCTACTACAGACACCGGTAAGATCGACGCCCTTGGAGGCTTCCTTGCAGGGCACGGGAAAGCTTGCAGCGTGCCACGCACATCAGGCTAAAATAGATGCAATACCCGCTACCAAGCCTTGGATAAATATTGCATCTGTTTCTGGGATATTTAGGGAATACTGGGGACCCCCGCTGTGGCTGGACAGGCGTGGGGGGGATGCTGCAGTTCCCCATCCTTACCTCGGTTGCCGTAGTTGTGGGTGTCCATGAAGGAGAGCCCCAGGCGCTCGTCCTCCTGCAGCGTGCTCTGGTCGGTGAAGCTCCTGTCGATGGCACTCATCATGTGTGTCTTCTCGTGGCGGTAGTTAATGGTCGCTTTGGTCATGTTGACGGGTTTTCTGCAGGGGGATGCAAAGGTGAGGAGGGGGAAGAAGCGCACGTAAGCAGGGCTGTAAGATCCCCCAAAGCTACCATCTCAGATTATTTTGGGGAGCAGGATGGATTATTTCCCCCAGCGGTCGCCGCACTTTGGTTTTCCAGTGCCCCAAGCCGTCACAGCTCCACATGGATCATCCCCTGCCAGCTGCAGCAACTCCAGCTGCTCATCCTCAGTGTCCCCTCCGTCTCCTCCCCAAAATGCCCCACATCTGGAACAGCCAGGAGCACTCCTTGGGCAAGCGAAGGCTCTCCTCGGCCAGCTAGTTTTGCGCAGGGCTGCCCCAGCTCTCCTCCAGCCCCGTTTCTCCAGGCCTTACCCACCATCGCCCCACACCACCTCGCTGCAACATGGACCGTCCAACGCGCCATGTGCATCGCTCCGCTGCACAAGTCCAAGAAGCAGAAGAAAGGCATGGACCTGTTGGAGCAGGTCCAGAGGAGGGCCCCAAAAATGACCAGAGGGATGGAGCCCCTTCTCCTGTGAGAACAGGCTGAGAGAGTTGGGGATGTTCTGCCTGGAGAACAAAAGGCTCTGGGGAGACCTGATTGAGGCCTTTCAGTGCTTAAAGAGTTTTACAAGAAAAATGGGGACAGATTCTTTGATGTAGCAATAGGACAAGGGGTAATGGTTTTAAACTAAAAGAGATTCAGCCTAGATACAAGGAAGAAGTTTTTTACGATGAGGGTGGTGATACGCTGGCACAGATTGCCCAGAGAGGTGGTGGAGGCCCCGTCCCTGGAAACATCCAAGGCCAGGTTAGACGGGGCTCTGAGCAACCTGATCTGGTGGAGGATGTCCCTGTTCACTGCAGGAGGATTGGATTAGATGAGCTTAAAAGGTCCCTTCCAATCCAACCATTCTATGATTCTAAAACCATGCAGGGGGCCAAACCCATCCCCCAAGGGAGAGGCCAGACACCCTGACTGCACACATGCTCAGCACCCACCAAGGAGCTTTCACCCCCATGCAAGGTCCCCGTTAGGCACCTAACGAAGATGCTGGGAAAGCCCAGAAGCTCTTGCTGGGACAGAACCTCACACCGCAAATTTGAGACATTTAAGAAAAAAAAAACTGATTAAGTGTTTTTAGAATCATGGAATTATTTGGTTGTAAAAGACCCTTAAGATCAAGTTCACCACTAAACTGTGTCCCTAAGCACCTTGTCTGCCCATCTTTTAAATCCCTCCAGGAATGGGGACTCCACCACTTCCCTGGGCAGCCCCTTCTAGTGCTTGACAGCCCTTTCACTGAAAAATTTTTTCCTAATGTCCAACCTAAACCTGCCCTGGCACAACTTGAGGACGTTTCCCCTCATCCCATTACCTGTTACCTGGGAGCAGAGACCGACCCCCCCCAGCTCCCCCCTCCTCTCAGGCAGTTGTAGGGAGCGATGAGGGCTCCCCTCAGCCTCCTC